TCTTCTGGGAAAAATCCATGTAATATTTAAGTTTGATACCTGGAAAAGTGTCGCGTATATACTGACTGACGGGCATGGCTAATTTGACTCAGCTTGCTCATTTATAGTATATACATATATATGTATATACTCTTTCGACGTTTCCTTCAGGGTGTTACAAACTTTTAGAAGCCTGTCTTCGTTCCATGAATACTCGTACTTGACAGTTCGAAAATTATTTAGGTTTCTGTCATAATTGTCATTTAGAGTGGACCTAAAATTTCAAATCTTAGTTAGCCTAGAGATCAATGATCTCAGAAGTAGGAGGTTTCATAGAAGAAAGACCGGTTTCATTATCGAGTTATGGCAGTGCCGGACGAGAGTACATACTACTGGGGTATTTTCTGCGCTGATGAGCTAGGATATCTCGAGAAAACTTATACGTATTCACAGGCACTTAGATTGGTTTCGCAAATGGGACAAAAAACTTAGTTATTGAAATGTTCACAAAGTTACTAATAATGCCACTAAATGGATTAATATTTGTACAGGCGGTAGTTGACATTATCCAACAGTTCTTATTTACTGTTTGTACCGGAGCTCGTCTCTTTAGTCCTATTCACTCTGCCCATTCTAAGTTGTTAAAGCTGTAACTTAAAAATAACAAATTACCGCTATAAGGGCTTCGAATGTGCTGTCATTCTAATATAAGCTCATTGAATGAACAAACACATGTCTTTCTAACATTCTTTAGCCCTTGTCCACTCAGGTTAACCATTTCGATCAGGATCTGCGTGGACATGAATTGATATCAGCAAGCTTCAACACACTCACACATGCATACACATAGATATGTACTTTTCCATAGACTTTTGTTCAACTTAAAAATAGTCAACAGACAATAGAAGCGGAATATATGTGCCAACATGATCGACGTGACTGAGGACTTTGTAATCTCGGCACAAATGGACATAAAGAAACCGCTATGTGTACACTCATAAGTGTGTGTATGAGTATATGTGTGTGTGGACAAGCAGAAAACCCTAAATGACATTGAATAGCAGCATCGTAAGGGCAGCTGAGAATAGTGTAGCCATTAAGCTTCCTTGTGTGACATTCATGTGTCAATTGGGATATATCCATCACATATTTATATACAAATATAATATAAAAGTATATGTGTTTTTATTTATACACTCATATAGAACAATAGGAAAAATAAGCAAAAAGTAAAGGTTTCCTTTCTGCACACACAATATAATGCATGTTTGTATATTGTTTTGCACATTTGCGCAATAATGGATTAACATGTGTTCAGAGGTTCTTATTTTACACATATAAAATACATGTGTACATATAATAGAAAATTATTTATACACAAAGCATTCTCGGACATTTTTTTTGAAGAAGTTTAAGTATATTTGTTTTCAAAACCCAATAGTGATAAGATTTCTTGGTTTATATCGTTGATGCTGGTTGGTACTGAGAACCACAAATATATAAATACAAACGTAGAACTACTTCGTGGAAAGATCCACCTTTGCTATTTGATATCGAAAAACTTAAATTTTGGCATTACAAAGAAACACAAGTCTTGGATATTTGTATAATAGAGTGAGAGGGAGAAATGGAATCCCTACCTACATCTTTATATAACTCTGCATTCTAATTACTTCTACACTTTTGGAATATATTTTAAGTTACAGCTTTCCACCGAATTAAGTAAACTTCAAAATTTGCTGTCAAAAATATGTAAACTTACCTGTGCAGCTGACAGCTGAACAATATTTGATGTTTGAATGACAGCGGCTTTAATTGCAGCAAATTTATAATTACACTTTTGACACATTATGAAAATTTTTACACTGAAAAATATGAAAAAGAGAAACAAATTTTACAAGAAATTATATTGATTGTTTTTATTTACTAAAAGTAGAGAGAAATACAAATATTTGTAATATAAATATTGGTTGACTGGTGTCATAAAAAAATGCAACAAAATTACTTTTATTTTTTGAGGTTATGTACTTGTAGTTCTCTAACTGTTTTGAATGACACACATTCCTTTGAGTGGCTTTAATCGTTTCACTCAATTTATAAATACTATTTTCATAAAACTTATAAAGAACTTATTAAAGTAAGTATGGTCATGCAAAATAGAAAGCTAAGGATATCTGACAACAGACAACGACTTTTAAGGTTTAGGATTACTGATGACCAATTGGTTGAAAATAGTTCAATTAAACTGATCTCTCGCTGATGACGATGGACAATAATCAATTAGATGCCCTCAAAATAACTTTAATAGAACCCTATAGATTCTTTAAGCAACTGTAGCAGATTTTGGTAGTCGGGAGCTAGTAAACTTGCACTTAGTGAGACCTCCAACTCAGTTAGCATTGGAAAAAACTTCTGCGATAATATTTCACTATTCTAATGTTGGAGAAGAAAATTAGATCGGTGGACCTAAATCGAAACACTAAAATATTTAATGAGGCAGTATTATTATCAATATCTGTACTGTGAGCTCCGCTTTCGATAAATTTGGAGAAACAATAAACAAAACATGCCCAATATGAGATGAAATATCTTTTGTCACCAAAGAAGCAGTTAGGTAGAGGCAGCAGAGAAAGAGAGTGCCGGACTATCATAAGAAAGATCATGAGAAGAGAAACTATAACTATATAGTGTATCAATATGAACATACAGCATGATACAATAATTTTAGCTATAGACATTCTCTAAAGCCGAAAGTAAAGCACCAAACTAATTTACTTTTTTATGAGGATTTTAATAGATGACGAACCACTTTCTTTTTTATACTAGGTGCCAAAATACGAACCGTAATCCAGTATATCCCAAGTTTGCTACAAAAGGAGTACAAGACAATTGTAATATCTTTGTCGGGATTATAAAAAGTAATTAGAACGAAGAATTGAATTAATGAAGAATTCATTATGAAGGTTTAATGGAAGGAGAGATGCATCTTTGTAAAAATTAGTCAAAAAACTATAACCAAATCTACAACAGACAAATATGAATGAAAAAAAGTTTGTGGTTAAAAAACATTCCAGTTAGTCATGTCATTCTTCTCAACTAAATGATTTCACTTATTGAGTTTTTAAAAATACAAAATCCCACAATTTAAGCACGAATAATACACAAGGATTTCGCAAAAACTTTGCAGCTATCGAAATTTGTTTAACAAGCGCATGAAAGTGGAAATTGCTCATTAGGCATAGCATATAAAAACTTTATTCCAAATTAAAAAAGAGCGTATCATATTTTTCCTGCCGTCATTGGCAATGATTCTAGTGCGCTATGCGCCGCTGTTATGCTAAGTAGGTAGTCATGGAGAAAATTGTATGTAAATGTATGCGAAAAAGTCAAATCACATACCACGAATCAAACGAGTTGGAAAAGTTGCAAAAATTTGGTGTAGACATTTAAATTCCGCAACTAAGAATTTGCGAAAATATGTAAGCTTTTCTAATTTAGGTATAAAGATACTTCGGAAAATGTATACGATATGCAAGTGTACGAGAGATGTTCGATTAGACAGCGATAATAAAATTTTGAGTATTAATTTTTCGTTCAGAAGAGTAGAAAGAGAGGATAAATGTTATCAGAAATTTGAACTATGAAATATCATTTTTCAAGAAGTGATTTATTGATCTACAGGGATCGCATTTGCAATTCGGGGACCATATGCCCTCAGCTCGCCTCGTTTGCCATGTTGGGCAACTATCTAATATGTGAATGCGTGACTATTTTGTGATAATCCGAGAGTTCTAATATTTTTCAGAGACAGTTCAAAAATTATGGAACTAGTAGATAAAAATCCTTAAAAAATCGTCATACGCTCTGAAGCAGCTTTGAAAGTACCCGACATTTTATTTATTGAAATATATAAGCCACAATTAGAAAAAGAAATTCATCAATGATAAGGAGATACAGTTTTTTCAGTGATGAATGATATGGTGAAGACCATGGTTGATAAGTTGATTTCACTACAAGGGACAACAAAATAAATCATTGTACGTGTATCACCGCAGCTAATCTACATCAAATTAATTTATACCAGTGTATGTGTTGTTGCTAGTAGCTTGTTCGTCTTCTTTACTTTCAAAGCTTGGCATATTGAAGTCAGCTATGGTCGGCGTAATATGCATACGCATAGTTGTATGTTTTTTGATAATCGGCCATTCATTTAAAAAAATTTTGAACTCCCTTCATTCCGTAACCGATCTAAAAATATTTCACATCCAAATTCAAACAAAAAAAAAACTTAATAGAGACAAATGCAGGTAATGATTGGTTTTGACAAAATGGCGGCCCAAAATTTAAAGTCGATTTCTTGTGTGTTTCAAGTCGTCGGCCGAGTCTTTTCGGAAAAATTTCTGACCGATTCTGAAACAGTGTTTCGAGAAAATGCGTTTAAAATTTTGGGACCGAAACTACGATTACAATAAAAAAATAATCATTTTTAGTTCACGATAAAAAACGTTGAGAACTTACTCCTTTCCTGAATTGCTGAAAATAATTATTTTCAACACATACATTTTGCTGCAAAATTGATAGTTTTTCAAACAATCCTCGATATACGAATGTTAAAAATATATCATTGTAACCAATCGCATTTCCTTGCGTTCTTTTTTCATCAGTACTCTTGATTACAATTAACACAGGTGGCATGAATTGCATTTAAAACCACAATCTAGTTACTCTCAGCTCTAATTAAAATTCGTTATAAAATGTTGTGTTGAAAATCATGACCACAGGGTACAATAACAATAAATTGCTGCATCTTTAGTGGCATTCAATTATTACTTGGTTTGATTACAATGGCTGTCCTAATGAACTGATGGCTGTCCTTCAGCACTCATTCAACATTGGTCTTGTACCACAAATGTGTGTTGATTCTGCCTTCACAATTTTTCAAAACAATTTACATACCATATATGTAAATTTATAGAGTTTTGTGAAATTTTAAACCTAAAACTAAACGAAATACTTTGGTACAGTCGCAGTAAATTCGTAGCTAGTGAAATTCTAGCTTTTTATAAGGGCTTAAAATAGTAAACTGATCATAACATCAATCAAAATATAAAGAAATAATATAATAGTTATTAGTCAGCCCATATTGTAGGTAGAGGATGGTTGTGAGAAAAACTGTGCCAGAAAAAATCAAACTATACCAATTACTTATATGAAATTAGACTAGGTTCAAACCAGTCGTCAGCTATTTTCTTGCAGATAACATAAAACAGGTAGGAATAAATAAATTCTGAAACTACTCTAAACTGAGGTCATGCTGACTTCAAAATCAGTCTATAACATAAAAAAAATTCAAACGTTGTAATAGGTTCAAACTGGTATAAAGTAGTGGGATCAGCTGAAAGGGAAATATCAAGTATTTTTGTACCTTAGAAAAGGAAGATATAGGTAGCCCGAAGTATACTCTGTAAGAGTATTTGCATATGCCTAATATTAATGCATAGTTGATCTCTTATTACCCTTATAACTTAAGATAGATCACAAAAGTTTTGTATGTATTAACATTACGACACTAACGAGCTTTAGCGTTTTAACTAATATATAAATATCTATCGAAAGTTTATCGAAGTGATAGCCGCTATGTAGTTTTTAATGAAAACTAGTTGTTGATATGATTTTAGATTTTAAGCTAATATTATGTATTCGAGAGGGGATCAAAGATTCATAGCTGCATCAAATTTGTTAGTTAGGCGAATAAATATTTAAGATTTTTACGTGGTCCTGCAAATAGTTTTTGAGGAACACGTTTTGGAACGGTTCACGGGGCTTAGAGTGGATGTATCGAACAAGAGAGACTTATGGTTAGAAAAATTTAAGATTTGGTAAATTTCTTATCAAAATCAGATTCCATAAAACAAACTCATTTTTCCCTAAAGTTATAAAGATTGTGGTTCACAGAACAACCGCAACTAACCAAACCATGCCAAACCTTTACAAAAACCCACGAAAAGGAGAAAAACTATGTGCGTTAATAAGTAAAAATTTAAGCCCAAATACGCCAATACCTACCAGTTTCTGGCACTGTAATGAACGACTCGGCGAGAGCGCCGGAAATTTGTCAGTAACTGAAATTTCTTAATGAGGTAACGCTTATACTTTGCTCAGATTTATTACCGACAATTATGACCTCTGAAGACTTGTCGGCCTGCATGGAGTGTGGGGATTGGTCAAAATTGCGGGAAAAGGTTAAATTTTCGGTGAACATTTTAAGGGATTACTTGTTTGCCACAATAAGTATTACACTAATAAATCACGCGGCTATTGATTACATTTTCACCGCTGCACGAAATAGCAGGACGTCGGTTGCATTTTGAGTTATTTATGGTTAGCCGAAAACATAATACTCTCTCTTTTTTTTTTTAAGTTAATTGATATTAAATTTATGTTCATCAAAAGAAAAGGAAATTAAAAGCTTGTTTGAGGATTTGAAGTATTTTTGGGAGTTAGCTCAATTAACAGATAATTGTATATCAGAGGAGAAGAGAGTTTCCAACTGAAATACAAAGAGGGTTTGATGTGGTCACCTACCAAATAACTTAGGAAGTTTTGAAATCAAATGTAATTTAATGTTTTTTTTTAAAGTACCTAAGAAAGGTAAAAAAATCCTTCAGTAAGAAATTTACTACAACCCTATAAGTATAAGAAATTTGTTTAAAGTATTCAATTTTCAGAATCGAATCTCTTTGATGTTAGGGGCTTTAATTATGGGTAGAGTAAACATAATTTAAATTAGGTGGCAAACCTGGTAATAATTTTTTAGGCCATCGCTTGACGTTTTTTATTTTAATTCAGATTTATATATTATTTTA